AATTGCGCCCGGATTGCTTCGCTGTGCGAAATTCCGATGGAGGAATACGCACAAGCAGAGAAAGCGGCGTAACAGAGAAATCACGAAATGGAATACAATAGAGAAAGAAGGGGGAGAAAAGTGAGAGATCGAAAGCAATGCAAGTCAAATCTGATAGTTTGTGGCGGTAATGAGGAAGAAACGAGGCAAACACAAGAAGAACAGGATAGAAGGGGCGGCATTGAGCGGGTCACCATGGTAATGCGAACAAGTAACTGACCTGTGCAATCGGCGCCTTCAGGAGAACGCGGCGGGGAAGAAGGCCCTCGAGGTAGTTAGCGTGCGTCCGAAAAAGCGTGCGCCTCCGGCGAATGGCTCCTCCTGTTAAGATCCGCGGCTATGGCAGCAGAACCCGAAATAATGCAACGAAGTAAAATCGGGCTTGGCCGAGATAACATGCCTCCTTTTCAATGGAGGCAGGTAGGTTTCACTTTCGCGCGTTTAACACTAGGAAACAGAACGAAAACATAAAAAAGAGACGCCGGAGAGAAAGAAGCAACCAAAGCAACGACATGAAAACGACAAGGATTCCGTACGGGATGAGAAAGTCCCGTGCGATTCTCACCTTCTGGCACGTGGAAGACAGACAGACAGACTTCAACGCGGAATCCAGAGCAACCGCACCAATGAGCCAATTTGCAATAGTTGGATTTCAATTTCCAACAACAACTACACTATTACTTCAGTACAAGAAGTTACTGTAGTTAACTGAACAACAATGAAAGAGGAATCGCATATCTAATTAATCTAGTTAGACCGTATTCAGACGTAATACGCGACCAGATGGAAGAACGAAACTAAGAACGGCGATGGAGAGGAAGAGGAAGACAATCAGTCATTCGACATTACTACTGTATTCGACAGCGTACGACTTTTTGAACTCTTACTTGTAATCAGCAATTCGTAAAAAGAGCCCGTTTGAATTCTATACTATACTATCCAATTTCATTCTATTCTAATTCTATTCTTGTATGTGAGACTCTTCTTCCACTTATATAGTCTATTAACAACGAATTTCCTCTGTCGATGTCCACAATTGCCAGTCAACAGTCGATGGTGCCGCCTGTATTGCAATCAGCCAATCAGCATTCCACAGCCCGCCAAAGCGAAGAAGCAGAAAACATCCACAATCAGCAAACTTTCCACCCTCTCCCCTCCTATTCATCCGCACCAAAGCGTCCTCCAGCCGGCCATAGCCCTGCAGCCCCTGCTGCCGGCACCCGCGCCCACGTCTTGCCGTACCGGCAGTACCGGCAGAAAACCAAAAGCATCTTTTTCGTTTCCGGCGGGATGACCCCCTCATTTCGGGGCACGCTGCACTACTCTCGACATGCACAAAAGACCAAAAACATGGCGCCGTATCTTTCCATATTCTAGCGGAAGATTCACTCTCGTTTGGCACATTTCGAGAGAAGTGCTGCGAGGCCCTTCGTTTTGTTTCGTTTCCGCTCTCCATTTTTTTGCCGCTTTTTCCGTTTCGGTTTCCAGTGCACTACCTGGACCCGCCGACACGCGAGACCCATGCGTGGTCACCCCGCCGGTGCTTTCCTTTTGCGCGGACCATGAATCTGGTCGTGATCACATGCCAAAGTACGTCCAAGGTAAAATACAGAAGCAGACAAACAGAGAACTCTCCATTTTTTTGCCGCTTTTTCCGTTTCGGTTTCCAGTGCACTACCTGGACCCGCCGACACGCGAGACCGATGCGTGGTCACCACGCCAAAACCGGCCAAACGGTGCTTTTCTTTTACGCAGACCATGAATCTGGCTGTGATCATGCCAAAGTACGTCCAAGGTAAAATACAGAAACAGACAAATAGAGAGCGCAAACGGCGGGATTTCACGAGTCGAAAAAAGCGCGCGGTGACCCCGGCCTTTCCGCTGAATGATAGGCACGTGTAAACTGCTTGCAAACTACGGTAGCATGGGCAAGAATCCTACCGTATCATCGGCGCAAATCCGGGGGAAATCAGAATGAATGGAGATGTCTTATGGCAAGGGTTGTCCGCTCTCCGATTCCTCAGAAGGGCGTTCGTTTCTTTTTTTTGTTTTTTTAACCAGTACCCCAGGGGGTTTTAGGCCCCCTATGCGCCCCCTCTGACACAAATGCTCCACTGCAGGGGTCTTCGAGGATCCCTGAAGAACGGCGCTCGTGCCGTAAGAATTCGTGGGGCTCCACCTGCCCGCCCTCTCGGGACTCTCACGAGAACAGCACCCCTCAAGCACCGGCAAATTGTGCTCTCCATTTCCAAGAGGCCAGAATCGTGGCCTGATGCATTTAACCGTTTTTAGGGAATTCTGTCTGGGAAAAAGATAGCAGCACATCAGTGAACTCAGGGCCTCGTCAGACACTCCTCAGGGCTTCCTCCGGCTCCGAGGATGAATCCGCCGGGAAATTTTGGAATTTTGGCACCGTCTCTCCACCTACCCTCAGGGCATGGCTCCGAGGACGAATCCTCCGGGACTTCCTGCGGCCAATTTTATACGCGGCCGCGGGAGGTGTGTCCGTGGTGTGGTTTCGGATGTCCGCTCAAGAGGCATGTTGGTCCACAGGCGACGGGCGTGAATACGTGGGGGGGCGCAAAAAAAAAAAAGAAAGGTGGGAATGTCCCCGTCCAAAATTTGAAATTCGAGTTCCGGCGAGGGACGATGGGTAGGCGGCACAGAGGCAGTCACAGCGTGGCGGCTAGGCAGTGCATATGCTGTATTCCTCCCCATCCCTTTCACGGCGTCTGCTTCTCGCCCCATTGAGTGACGACGACACCCCACCTTGTGTAATGGAAGGTGTGTCCCGCTATGAGGTCCGTCGCCAGGTTGGCTCCTTGAGTGACAGCGCGTGGCAGTTAGGAGCGCGAGCTTCGGTGGACGAGGACCTCCATTGCCCCATCATCCGTTCTGGTCGCCCTGAGGACCTGTAAAGTGCAGCTGACATGGCGCGACGTGGACGCTGAGGACGCACGTACACAGGGAAGGAGCCAGGCTTGCGGGTGACCACGTCTTTTCAAACTTTGCGGGCAATGGAGGGTGGGGGGGGGGATGGGCGTGGGGTGTTGACGTCCATTGAGAATGCGGTGTTGACGTCCATTGAGAAGACGGCGGTGGTGGTGCTGCTGCTGGCCGTGGTTGGCCGTTGTCAGGTAGACAGAGCGTCCAGCAGCATATAAGCGAACTATCAAGGCACAGGCAAAGGATGTTGATACAAAGAGTGGTCGACGCCCCAGACTGTGTGGCAACTTTGGAGCATGTCATTCAACTGTGCGCTGCATTGGGCTCTGGTGTGCTCCCTCGAGCGATGCCAAGATGGTGGATGAAACGGAGAATGGGCGGGACATGCGAAGATCTGCGGGTGTGCGATGACGAGACGAAACGGCCGCCTGCGTGCTTCCACGGGAACACTTCGGTGACATGATTACCCCCCACCCCTGCAAGCGGTGTACAGTTTGTCGGCCGTTTGTCCATCCTGATCCCCTTCTTTGTCGACTGTCTCCTCTGGTTCCTCTCAGGAAGTCGCCCCAGGAAACACAAGTGAAACACGACAACCACTAGAAAATGCAGCACGACAATGAGCAGCAACGACGGCAACCTACGGTGCAGGTCAGCCATGAACGACACAAGAGAGAGGATAGCATGGGCACGACTCTTGTGGAATGTGCACACAATGACGATGCACGACAGTCCGAAGCACTCGAAGAGTACGCACTGTCATCCACATAGCGCCTGCAACCACGACCACAAATTCAAAATTAACGACCGTTGGAGACCCCACCAGAATGCCACAGACCCCAAACAAGGTGGCTGGAAATGACGATGCCCGCCGCCATCCAACGCCAGCGAAAATCGGCTCCGAGGACAGTTGGAACCATGACAAAATCCTTGGAATCACACCCCCGAGGAGTGTCTAACGACGGCCCTTAGCTAGAATCCGTAGGGTGAAAAAAAATATAGAAATGCCAAAGGAGCCCGTAATTTCCTCGAACAATCGGCAGTGGAGCACAACCCTTATGGACCTCCGCGGCACACCAGTTCAGCCGCTGCGTTAACAACCTAAGAACATGGAGGCATTATCGACATGATTTAGGCTTGGATCCCACACTACTAACGGTAAGCAGGGTTGTCACGCGGGGATCCCCGGGGCCCAAGCCGGGGTAGGGGTTTCACCCCCGGACCCCCGCCGCGGGGCTACCCGCCCCCC